ACTGCTGAAAGCTTCAACGGATACTTAACGACATGAAACACCTTTCTGTGTTCTCATAGAGGAGATTATATGGAGATGTGAGTTTCCTCCTCACTTTTCTCCAACTTCTGTAGTATTTCTTTGAACATAGTACTACAACATTACATTATTTTACTACGCAAAACTATCACGCATGAAAAACATTTTATTATTTCACTATACAAAATTATTACACATGAGAAATATGAGAAAAGGCTGGTCCCTGAGACACAAGAAGGAAACATTATCAATATCTGCAAATAGTTCTGATGCTATTCTCTTAGTTAATATGATCAGAAATATCCTTCAGGAATGCTAATATATCACCCTGATCACTTCTAAACTCAGGCACACTATACAGTGTAGTAGTACAATGTATCAAACTATAAGCCACATACTTTGAAAGTACTGCCTAGCCCTACTGCAATTAGTTACTATGTAACATTTGTGTTACAGCAGGATGGGAGCGAGATTTTTTTATATATCTGAATGAAGATTAAAACCTTAAAGAATAACTTTTTAACAAAACAGTTATAATTTACTGGTACTAAAGGCCTTCAACTAGCTAATATAAGAAGCACTTGTGATAATTCATTAATTTTAGAAGTGAAAATGGAGAGGAAATATTCAAAGAGTTTTTGCTTTGTGTTGTTTCACTGATTAAACATCAATAACGCATCTAAAGCTGATCAGTTACATTTTTATATTTCATCCAGATTCCACAGGTCAGTGAAACAATTTACCGGTTTTATATAATAATTTTCCTCAATCAATGTAGAACTGGATTAAAAGACAGACAACTGATACGACTTTTACTAAGGGAAAGGTTACAGTCAATCTTGTTTATACACTGGGAAAATTAATATCCATTAATAAAATAAAATTATGAGAAGAATTTTCTAATAGCTAGGAAATTTTCAAGTTCCACCATGTTTTATTGCCCTATTTGTTTGAGTCAGCGCAGAGTTTGCCTCAGCAAAAATGTTGTTTCTTCCTCAGTTCTCAGATACATAAATACAATGGGATATTCAGATTCATTCTAGAAATTATTCTTCCATTAGGCCATGTTTCATCTTCTGCAGTCCAGTTCCCTTTTGCTGCCCATGCTCTACCTCCTTGCCCAACCTGTCATCCACCCTGCAATCTGTTTCCATCAGCTTTGTCTTTTGATCACTTGAGCTCAATCATATTCAAAAATACTATTTCAAAAATGAAAGCCTTGACATACTAAATTATTTCACCAGAGATAAATGGGAGATGAAACAACACGTAAGGAAAGCTAAGCTGATAGTCATTTGACCAAAACAATTTTTTGAAAATAATCGTTCAGCCACTAGTCACTATGCATAATAAACTAGAGTTGCAAGCCATAAAGTAGCCTTCTCTACAGGAACAGTAGTGGCAGTTCAAAACACATGAACCATAACAACCAGTTGAGTTTAAACGTATCCTTCGACGGTCAATAATAAAGGTATCAGGAAAGCTTTGCACTTGAAATAACACTCTCTATTTTCCTTATCGAGTCTACAAACTTCACAAACCAATACGTAATGCTAGAATGTTGACATTAAAGCTATTTTTCTTCAGGACAAACCTGTGTAAAAAGCAAAAAGTCTGAGTCACCACAACAAAAATAAGTTTGAGGCAGTGTTTTATGTGAGGTAGAATACACAGCTGTGATGGTCTTTCTCTTCAAAAAAAAGTTTTTAAATTAATTAAGGACATTGATTAGTTAAAACACATCTTCCAACCTATGCATAAACTGTATTTAGATAAAAGACTACATACCAGCATAGGTACGTTCAAGTTCAGTTATATCTACCTTTTCATAATGAAAACATTCACGAAATCCTTGGCAATCTGAAGCGTACTGCTAAGATTGAAAGCAGTCAACCTTGAATGAAAGATGAATTAATAGCAGTTCTAAAACCACTAGATACACACTCTATTGTCATGCTTTTGTTTAAAACAAGAAAAAAAAACAAAGAAATAGAAGGTGTCTAGGTCAGCTAAGTCATCAGTAGTTGATGGATGCACTTACAGCCGTCAGAGGAAAAAGGAAAAGAGGCAGAATATAATACCCACTTATGAGATGCTGTATGTTAAGGATGGAAAAAAAAAGGCCTCAAGATGTGCAGTAACTCCACTTGCTCAGAGCTGAAGGCTTTCTATTCTTATATATGCATGTCAAGGGTACGTTTAACCCTAGAAGGGCAGCTTAATGTATTATCACAGTATTCATTCCTAGACACTGATAAAGTTAGAAGTATTCATTTTACCAAATACATCTTCTGAGAACAGCCCCTACCAGTAATAACTGTGAACTGTGGGTGAGGAATTAGAGGATAACGGGAGCTAGTAGAATTGTCACTTCAGGAGGTGTTTATGACTGCTAGCAGATGCATGGCTGATCTCCGCATAAGCAGGAAATGTGAAGGTTATGTTGTGAGGGCGCTCAAAAGAGTAGCCTTGCTCCTCATCCCCAACACCCTAGGCTGCATGCACACTGCTACAGCTTCCAGTATTGCAGCTCTTGAGGAGGCAAGGAGCAGGATCGCTTCTGTTAGCCCCCGTAGGGCGCAAGACGGGCATGGCTCCCGCAAGACAGGAGCTTTCTCTGCCACATACCCACAGTCAGACTGGTGGGAAGCCCTCAGCAGAAGCTACTGGTGATTAAACCAGAATCAGGTGTAGGCAGCTCTGATAATGCTGCATCACAGGGCCAGGATGAGCATCTGCCATTTTGGGCAACGTTTTGCAAAGCTGAGTGAATACTGCACCACTCTTCAGAAGTGGGCTAAGGACCCTAGTGAATTCTTTGTACAGATGCCTAGAGAAGAAAGGTAACACTTTGGTCATTACAGTTAAGGACCAACTGTCCAAAATACCAGTGATAGCTTTATTATTATCTTTGATAACAGGACTCTGTCATGCAGATGCATCTTGTCTTGTTTTATAATCGTTGAAGGAAGAGTTGCTGACTATGCAAAGGACCCATTCATAATACTGGTGCAAATCAGTATGGAAATGTTTTAACAGTCCTGTAGCCCCACGGACCCTGCCTGTTACCTTCTGAACTCTCTTGTCCCATCTTCTGTTCTTCCCTTTAAAATATCACGCTTTTTTTGCTTTTCCTCTCTAAGCATAAACACATGGTCTTTCTCAAAGAAATCCCCGCCCTGAATGCATGTGTTTCTTCAGCTATCACTCATTCCTTCAACCCACCTCGCCCAGAGTGCCACTACTGCAGTATTCCGCTACGCCAACCCATAGCAGGATGGATGAGCAGAAAAGGTACAAGCACTAGGAGAAAACAGGATCCGTTCGGCAGGTGAGGTGAAGATTACATTGGTGGGCCATGTGTCAGCGTGTAGGTTCTTACCGTGCTGGCAGACCAAAGACGACAGCTGGTAAATTTAAGAGAATGGAGGTCATCATCAATTTGCATGGATATATAACTGTCAGAGACAGTTCAAAAACTAAAATAAGTAAATGTTCAGAAAACAAAAGGTAATCTCTTCTCACTTCCTAAACTATGAGATTTGTTGAAGGAATTGGATCCAGGTTCCCCAATCTCTTAAAGAGAAATGACTTGCAATGTTTGATTCTGCATGTGATCATTCACAGCATTTGTCTTTTCCAAGTGCTGAATGCCTCAACTGCACACTAAAATACCAGCTCCCAAAATTCAAAAACACAAGACTGTTGCACTGCTTCCTCCCTCTCTCTGCTCTCCTACTGCAAACTTATGACACTGCTTTAAATTTAAGAGTCTGACATACTTTGATGTCATTCTTCATTTTTAAATTAACCTTGAAAATGCTCAGATGACAACTCTCCTGTCAACTCTCCTAGACGCACTGACTCAAGAGAGCTGAAGTAGGAAGGAGGCAGGTTAAGACCACCCCCAGGCTGAATCATCATGTCCAGGTTTATCCAGTGCCACTTAATGGCTCTAGGGCACAAGAATCCCACACTAATACTTACAAATCATTTGGTCAAAAAATTGAAGTGGGAAAGGGGAGAACTATCTCTCATTAAACAGGACATTCTTCCTGCATTCTGGTTGCCCCAATGATAATACACAACCTCACAGAAACTGTCTGCTTTAACGCTTGAAAGTTCTTCTCCTGCTCCTGATGTGGCACATCAGCTACACAGTATCTGAGGCTGACTGCAAAGCAGAGATGAAACAGGAACGGTTCTGACTTAAGTCCACATTCAGACATAGCCAAAAGGACTAGTATTTGCAAAATATGAAACTAAAGCATACTACAAAAGGCTTCTTCATTTTACAGTTGGTATTTTGCAGCAACTAAAGGCCAAAAGTGAGATAAGATACTCCTCAGAGCTAGGCACAATGCGCACTCTAGTAAGGACAGTCCCTGTACACCAAATACTTCCAATCTAAATTAAAAGGCAAAACACACACGAAGCACTGAAGTTCTCCAAAATCCTCCCCAAAGAAAAGTCCTTAAGAAAATGGAAAATCCCATGTACGCTATCCATCAATAATTAATATCGATTTAAAGAAGAACATACATACTAATAAGTGTTTTCAAACTCCACTGTGCTTTTCAGAAACTGTGGCGAAACATTATCGTATACCAACGCCTGCTTCAATTGGACTTGCAGCAGACAAAGCACCAGCGGAGGCCACCACCATTATCCACCATGGAAGGCACAGCCCACCTGGCCAGTTTGTCCAGAGGAGAAAGCGAACACGAAGCAAATACACTGTAACATTTCTTAGTTTCATGGGCAACCTGGCCAAGTCAGTGCTTTTCAGTTTTCAGGCACACACTGCAGCATTTTTGGATAATCAATTTTACACAGAAACACATGGAAAAGATAAAATTTTGATAGCAAATTTATTTTATTCCCAGTCTCAGTTTTTTACTGAAATAATAGTTTTAACTAGTCCTAATTATCATCCTTTTTCTACAGTTGGAAAAAGTAAGCCACAGATCAAGAACTTACCTTTACTTCCAGTGAAGAGCAACGGGTTTCTAAGATCCAACACCAATTAAAAGGGAAGAAAAAAACAACAAGAACACATTCCAATTATTTCAAGAATAGACCTTTTTCAGATAAGCAATATTTACTTCCTAGAAGGACATACTGAGCATATACTTACATATGGACCTACTCTATCCCAAGTGTTCAAAACATGGTTTTTGAGGTTAAGTGTGGTTTCAGAAATACTCTTTTAAAGCAAAATTTCACCTGCATTAGACATTAATAATCATTTCAACACCAAATAAAAACACTGGATAGGTAGTGAGGTATATGACAAAATTCAATTTGAGATTAGGATACTTAAATTCAGCTGTAAATACAGTCCATAAAGCCCAGACGGATTCAGCTGGCTGTTGCTCACTTCAAGTTGAGTCTAATCCCTCCCTACACTCCACTGAGCCCGTTGACTAGATCTCTCGCAAACACAACAGTTTAGATACTAGTGTCTAGTTTACACATAGACCCTTAAATTAAGTTGGCCTGATCAACAAGCTGAATCCCACCCCTTGTAACTGATGATGGGAGAGAGGCTCTATTCTGCCCCAAGTCATCTTTTTCCAGAATCTCTTAATGAAATCACTTGCTTCCTTAGTGCACCTCTGCACTGAGGGAAAGCTTGACAACTCGATAGCGTAAGAAATGCCCTTTAGATATTTATCAAGGCTATTACATTCACACACTCCTTCCGCAATTGTGACACATTTGACTTGTAGTGGTAAGCAATCATGTCACTTTTCAAAACAGAAAAGAAAAGTTCCCACTTGTGGAGAAAAAGGGAGACTACAGCAACTGCTAGTCAGGTTTGTCAGAAGCGTTCAGTGAATGCATGTGACAGAGTAATGACGTTACCGTTATAAACCAAATGAGATGCACTATTTGCAGAACCTGCAGTGCCAGAAGCGAAGCATTAAACTGCTTTCCTATTTTACATGCTAAATTGGTTCTATAACACATTTTCTAATTCCTCTAATCAAAATTTTTTTAAAAGGCATTACCTAAACTTTCTCCATCAAGGCAGCTGTGTCTTAAAACATTGATTTATTTTTGAAGCAGAATTTGTGAACCCTTATAAAGTAGCTTCAAAGTGAAAGCAGCATTTCTGAGTGGCTTTCCTGAGCAGCTTCAGAACGAGGCGAGCAGCAGAACTGGCAGTATAAGTACATTATGCATCTGCACACTGCATGGAATTACTTTCTCCTCTAAAAGCTGCTCCAACTTTTTAATCTGTATTTCTTTTTTCCCTGAAGAGAGGAAGCTCTTTCAAAAAAATGTGTCTATGTCTACATGAGTCTACAGTATTACATAAATAAATATACATCCCACTTACTCCGAGAGTACTATCACTGCTTTTTACTGCTTATGTTTGCTAATACATATTGCAATCGCTGCTCCTCTTCACACTAGCACAACAGGAAAGACGACAAATTTCACTTTGATGGCTTTCACAGGACAATAGGAGCCACTACAGTCTGCATTTCCCTCCATATGTTCCCTCAGCTGTCTCTTCATAACCATATGTTGTTCCCATCGTATACAAGGGCTGCATTCATGCCTCGTGGCAGGAACCACTGCTTGGTTTTGTGCTTGTGCAGCATCGAGCGCAACGCAGCGGCCAGGGCCACCAACCACACTATCGCTCACGAGCCAACACCTTGCCTTCCTTCACATGCACGCACTGTGCGCATGCAGGCACTGAAAGTGAGTTGTTCTTGTTTTTTTTTTTTTTTTTTTTTTTTTTTTTTTGTTTTTTTGGTAAAAATCCAATTGTAAAAGGCCTGGCAAACAGGGCCCTTCTCTTCCCAGTATCACTTGATGGATTGAAGTTCACACAAGAGGAAGTTATATTTATGCAGTGACAGGACCAGCTTCTACAGATTAATTTTATAAAGGATCCCTTTAAATAGTTTGCAAGGCCAATAACAGTCTTGCACTCTGTGGATAAACTTTCTCTGCCCTGCTTAGAACCATCCAAAGACCTAAGTACTAGCCTGAACTAGTTATTTTGACCTACTGTGGGGAAAATTAAGAAAAAGAGAAGCAATAAGGAGAATAATCCCATCTTGAGATGGGGGAGGAGGGAAGAGAGACAGAAATGAATAATGGCTCTTTACTTCCCTTTTTTCCCCCTTCACCATCCCTGGACAGGGCACATAACAAGCTACCTGAGACAAGATCTCTCACTTAATACGTGGCTCCTATCGGGACAGCTGATATTTCAGAATCCCCAGGTACGCAGCCAGGGCACGGATGAATAGGAGACACCAGATCTTTTATGCTGAATGTACAAACCTCACTACAAAAACGTGGGCCATCGCATTACACTATTTATTAAAAGCGTAGAAGATATAACAAGGGGGGAAAAGATGCTGCAGTGAGAATACACTTAAGGCTTTGTCAGGTGTTTCTCCTCCTACAGTAAGCTGACTTGTAAGACCTGAACAGACAGAAAAGACATCTCTTGTTCTCCTGGCTAGTTCCAACTTAAATTCTGGAACAGGCAGCTGTATTCTGCACTACAGGTAGGGTTACTCTAGCACTCCACTCCCACCAATAAATCCCCAGAGTGATTTTAAACAAAGGAAAAACAAAACAAACCAAAAAAATCAAATCTCTGCCACTTCAAACATGCAGGTGCAAACACGCACCCCGGATTTCTAATTCACCGCTCGGGACAGAAGAAGTAGAGTTCACTGCACGCTTTTGCAACTTTAGACATCAAACCGAGGGGTCACAATCGTGAGTGATAAGCAGGCCACAGCTAAAAACTAATGGCAAAACCTGGAAGAATGTGTTTCATTAGAGGAAAAGCTAAGAGCCTGGAATGCCTTTTCTTATAAGAGCAGTGAAAACAAAAATATTACTTAGTTTTGAAAAGGAACAGAATTACAAGATGTGGTGGTCTACAGAAACGAGGGACTGAACACAGGAGCAAGAAGCTCCCCCACGATCATCTAAATTTCACTCCTTGCTAACCTCATCATTTAACATTAATAAATTTGTCTTAGAAATAAGCAGCCATCTGGGATTTATACAGTAACTGTATCAATCTGAAGTTGTAATCCATTATTGAACTGCAAGCTTAAACCTTTTGTTGAAAGAAAAAAAAAGTTCTCAAACTGGAGAAGGTGAAAGCTTGTGAATGAGATGACATTGGCTTTCTCTGTGTAGAAGTTTGCTCCCCTACTAGGATTTTATTACTTATTTGTGCACAGATCAGAAGATTAATCTTTTCTAAAACATCGCCCTTGCTAGTTGTATAAATTCAATGTCACGACTTGTATTTGTTAAAGTGCGTGTGTGTTTACATACGCACGTGTGCATGCCTGCAAGCTGATTACTACCAGGCAACTCAGACTGAATACAACACAGAGAGGAAAACATATGGACATATCAAGCATTTCAGCCCTCCAGTTTAGACACTTGAAAGCAAGATAACATGCACACTCCTTACTATGCAGCATAAGAAAGAAAAAGCACTACTGAAAACCAAGATAGAAGCAAAACCACTGTTGCGCATTACTAATAACTACCGAATGAGACATTAGGAAGGCACACTGCCCTGAAGTGTATGTCAGCTGTTAATATTAACACTCAAACTGAAATATTTTTAAAGTCTCTTCAGAGACACACACTAAGACTCTGCAGCTATCTTTGCTCATCCTGTAAAAGCACCAGTGCAGTAATCAGTGTTACTTCACTATTACAACCCAAGAAGAAACTAACCATCTCTTTCATACACACACGTGCTCTGTCTGCTTCCTATCTGCAAGCAGTTTTCTATGTAGCACCTTTGGACCATTGGCAATCCATTTGCCACTTTTCCAGGGCCTACAAAAGTAACTAAGAAAAGCAGAAAAGCAGACTTTCTGTCACTAAAATACTCATTTTACCAGGGTCTGTACCTCTGCTGCGATACACTTAAGAGGTCTGCAGTTCGAACACCCTCCCTGCACAATCTTAAAGCAAAACCTAGAGAAGTGGAGCAGAGCAGTGTTTTTTTTTTTGCTGAACCTTCACTTTGCCAGGTAAAACGTTTGTTAACCTCATCCAGTCGGATCTGGGTTCTTGTTCAAGTTTTCTGCGGACATCAGAAAGTGTAAAAAGGGGATAGTTGGGAAACAAACCAAACTGGCAAAACTGCATTACCCCAGCCTAACCCATCGGTCGCTAGTATTTTTCAACCAATTGAAAATAAAAACAAAACATCAGCCAGAGCATATCAAGCAGCTAGCACAGTGAATGTGTACGTTGCGTATCGCCGGGACCACTGCTTGGCAGATACAGTCCTTCTCATTCCACCCATTTTATAAGCTTGATTAACAAGAACAACGCTGTGAAACAAAAGCTAATGATGAAAAAAAAAATAAAACAACCAAACAAAAAAATCCAGAGAATCCTTTTAAAAAAAGTTTCTCTGTTTTCCCATTAAAGAACATTTTCAGGATACCATTTTTCTTTTTTTAAATAGCTGACAATATTTTTATATTTTTAAAACAATTTTATAATATCCTTATTATCCAAAAGCCTCACTCCTTGGACATTTCTTCAGACACTCTTAACACGTATGCCAACTACTCCCAAGGGAGAGCAAAACTCTTCTTGAAGCCAAAGGAGAAGCTTCCACCCCTATCAGTATTGAACTGGACCCAGTAAACCAATATAAATTCTCATCCTCTTGTTATTAAGTTCAGTCACATCTTCAGCGTTGTTTGATGTCACTTTGAAAAAAATAATTTTTTTCCTAAGAAAGCAAAAAACGCAACCCAAACAACTAACGAGCTACACTACGCCAGTAGACTATACTTTTTCTTCTCTATAAAGCACTCCAACAGAGGGCAAAGAAAAAGTACCTCACTTCATTTATCAATTTCTTTTCACAGTTTTCATGAACATTTTAAAGGACTGTTAATTTGTCTGACTCAGAGATAAAACTGCAATTACTAATGCAAGAAAAGAGTCCAGCTGTACCGCTTGCCATTAAAAAGCTTGTAGTATTCGCTATGCTGCTACCACACAATGTGAGCAACGTCTTCAGACGCACCTTGTGTAAGAATCAAAACTCCCTGAAAAAAAAAAACCCTTCTTTTAATAAGTGACAGACCAGAACCAGGTCTCATGCACACACTGAACAGGGCTTGATGAGCGCAATATTTGGAAAGCCTTGATAAAGTTACTATTTCTGCAAGAGAGATTTTCTGGAACTTGTTAGGAAAGCCTTCTACTCAAGCCAAAACTCAAGAGAGGTATGGGACGTCAGAAGTACAGAAAAACTTTCTGTATCATAAGTAATTATTTCTGGATAAATATAATGAGTCAGGAAGTTTGGGGTTACAGAGTTCAGTAACCCTAGTCTTGTTAAAAAAAAATCAAAACAAAATTGGTTAGACATAAGAGCCGGAAGTAACATCTTAAAGAAATGAGAATTCCCATAAACACACATACACAACAGAGGTTAGGTGCAGAAGGTGCTAATTGAAGAAAAGAAACATCTAAATCATCCTCTATTTTTCTCAATAAAGAGAGCTCTACGTACTATCCACTCAACAGCCTACAATTTTTTCATATACTGTGAATACTGAAAATCAATTACCAACCAAGAAAGTGTGCACATGTGTGTATATGTACATACATACACGTTTTTACATATGTAGAAATAATAGCAAAAAAACTTTATTTTTACACTTACATAATTTCCATAATTTGTTAGCCTCTGTACTTTTATCAGTCTCATTGGATTGTACACATCAGTTCAGATACGAATAATCATATTTTTTTCTGGACTTGCTCATATTTGTTACATATCATAAGCTTCTTTTTAGAAGAGGCTGGGGGAGATTGAGGTCATTATTCCATTTTCCTTTAAAATTCCATCTGTATCAGTTCCTAAAAATTAAACACCATACTCAGCAGGTTCAGCAGGAACTTCTAAATGAGTATTCCTTCTCCCAGGCTGCACTTTCTGTTATTGCATCCGAAATTTAGGAGCAAACACTTGTATTCCCCTATTTTCAATAGAGTATAAAAGGAAAGTTTAAATCTGCAGTGCATGAGTGATTATTATTACTGTTCTGCAAGTCCACAACAGAGGACACAAAAAGAAGGACATCCTCCACCAGGGAGGAGATTTTGTTTCTTTCTTTCCACAGCAAAACCTTAGGGCTGCCTCCAGTCTGAAGTGCTGGAATTGGTCCCAATGAAGACAAATTAGAGGGCTGACGGCACAGAAAATGGTCTATAAGGTATCCTAAATTGCATTTAGCACATCGCGCTGCCGTGTGCCATATAAATCTCACTACTGTGGATATGAGGTTTGTGTTAATATTATTTGAACACATAGAATTGCTAAGAAATCTTTTTTTAAGTAACTGAGTGATGACGAAATATAAAACAAATGGATTTGCCCATAGTGTTTCATTTACAATATTTTCCTCTATTCCCTCTCATCTTTCCACTGGACAGATACGATTGCATGGATCAAGTTTCATAATAACGGCTTACTTCAACTCCTAAAACCACATCAGTTACCAATCCAACTCTATATCCACATTTTGGAGGATAAAGCAACATGATTTTGAAATGTATAATATCACAAGCCAGAAAAGACAGACTACCTCTCACTATAATATATGAATCCAGATGAGAAATGCCACTAAGTTAATACTACACAGAAAAGGGGGGGGGAGGGGGGGAAGAGAGAGATGAGAGAGATTGAGAGAGAGAGAGAGAGGGGTTACCTAATAGGGTAGCAACACATGCACGAAGAGCAGTAATCCACCTCATTAGCTTCCTGCCATTATGCCAAGCTTACTCTATCAAGTAAAACGCCTGTTTTTGATTGTTGTTTTTCGCTAAACCTGAAGCATGTCCAGCTTTTTCTAAATAAGGTCACTGCAATCAGACGTAGGAATCCAATGGCCGATTTCACTACACAGAGACCTACGCTTCCTCTTCTCTCCTCCCTCCCTGCCCATCTCCTGATGCACAGCCTTGGAAATGGTTTTCCATTCGTTAATCCAACAGGTAAGGCTCAGACAGTAGAAACACAGGCTTCACTACATTAACTCACCCTTATAGCTCAATTTCGACTCTCCGTTAGGATGAAAATTTGGCAAAGATGAGCCTTATCTGCCTGTGCTCCAAGCCAACTAGAAGTGAGTCTGTGCTGAGTTGGAAGCCCCACTGCTTCATTTAACGCAGCTCATGCCCAAGCTAACGACATTTGCTCAAGCTTAACACATCTCCCTAGCTTTCAGCACAAAGCAGGTTTGCATCTGACAAGGTTGAAACACGGGAAAAGTCAGCTCGCCTTTGTCTGTGAAAGACCAAGTAAACACATTATTAGCTGAGCTTTGTCTCAAAGCCTAGCCAAAATCCGGTCTCTTTGTTACCAAAGGGAAAATGCAAATCACTAAGCACAAATCAGCCCTGTAAGGGGCTCAAGAGAAAACAGCAACTTGCTTGATATTGGCCATAAAACAGACTACAAGTAGCAGTGATTTTGATCAATGCCAGCCTGAACTGGATCCAGTTCAATGACTTAAAGATGGGAAATAAGTTGAAATTGCACTCATTTATAACTAGATATTTTAGATAAAAACCAGAACAGAGAATTCATACCAAGTCCTTATTATTAAGGCTACTGCTCAAAGTATTTAATGCTAATTTATTCTAAAAGTGAAACTCATTACAGCTGTATAAATATATTTTTAAATGTATTGTATGAGTGACTGTAGGAAACGCTCTTAAAATATTTTTATTTGTTCAGTCACTGAAATAATCGTTATAGCATCCATCTTTTTTTTTGTCCTTTAAAAAAAAAGATGCTTGTATTTTTTTTGCTCTAACTCCCAAAGTGTCAGGTTTGGTAAAAACTCAGTTTTCCACTCTGCAGAAATTCCTTCTCAAAATGCATGTTTGCAAGGTCAAAAGGATCAACAGTGCTTTTATAGAACCTGGCCCAAAATATATGTTACATTCTCTTATTTTTCATTTTAGTTAAACATACACATACTATGACAGATTATTGTCCTATGCCCAAAATGGTTGGAGCATACACATTCACCTGCATTTCATAGTTATGTCTACGGCACACGAACAAGAAACAGCAGAACTCATATCAGCTTATTAATGAGAAGACACCCTTTATTCTGTCTTTAAGAATTCACATCTGAAGCATGTCTATTCACTGACATACCAGATACAGAAAAACTGACCCTATTTATTTTGCCTAAAATTAGTTAACATAGTCTATTAAACTCAGTTACTCATATAAAAATGCATATATTCAAATACCCATAGAACCCTTCTGCCCAGGAAAAAGAAAGCAAACAAACAAACAACAACAAAACAAAAGCCCTAAGTTTATTCCTATTCTAGCTATTGAATTACTTGCACATTTTCTGAATTACTTGAGTAACATCTTCATAATGCCAGAAAAAGTGTGATTCCGTTATTTCTATTATCTTCAAAAAAAATTGCAATAACCAAGATATATGGGTGTGCTAAAACTCAACATCAATACCTCCCTTCTGTAACACCCACTCTCCTCAGACTATTACTTTTGTACCTTTACATGCTTTTATCAGAATGATAAATGCTTTTCAAGCAAGAGCAAGGATTTCAAAGTGCTTGGATTCTTTGAGGCTCTCTGAAACAAATAAGGATCCAGCTCAACCTACCTTAGATATTTCTGGCTCCACTTGTCTCTTGGGTGTCTCTTTCGACTCAGGCCCTTTTGGCATACAAGTGTTCTTGACAGAGGGTGACTCGACTCCTTCACCTTCAAGTTGCAGGTTAATACCTTCTGTGGGGACAGGATGATCAATACCATTTGGATTCAGATTGCAATGGATAGCTGGGAAAAAAAAAATATGACAAAGAGGAAACACTACTTAGGAAAGAACAACTTGACACTAAAAGCATTTATCACAAAGTATTAATAAATGCCACAATAGTAGCCAGACTTAAATCTGATTGTGGCAGAGGAATTGTCTGCAGCTTGACACTGATTCAGGGCGATCTATTTCAGGAAGGGAATGAGAAAGAACACAGCACTCTATAGCACTATTTTACCTAGGCTACTATGTTGAACTGTTCTCTACTAGCATTGCTACAAAGTCCAAGACCCTCAGTTTACAGCTTTTACTAGAGGAGGACAATATATCCCATGTATTTATCATTCAGCCATCCCTTTCTTCTTTTCTAGGTAAGTCAGAGCTTTTCTATTACATTTTCCATTAACTGCAGCATTCTGTGTCCTAAACAACGTGGGTAAGCGAGCTGTGCACAGCAAGTCAAAGTCGGTCTCCACGCACCACAATGACTTACCCAGCTGATTATCTCCCCTTCTGCACTTTGTACCACTGCAAACTACCACGTACACCATCCTAACAAGCAAGAGGGATGTACTCTCTAGAAGTATATAACAAGGTGTGGACTAATGACAGTAGAATAAGGAAAGCAGCCGGGGGAAAAAAAGAAAACAAACCCAAACCACACCACAGAAATGCACATAGAACTACGGCGGTAGTTTAATTGTTTTCTGTCTGAAATTTCACAGTCCCAGCATTCACGCACAAAGCAGCCTTAACAACCTTTCCGGCATATGGATCCTGAAGCAATTTCCCCTTCATGCAAGCATCCGATTTTTCTGTTCGTATTTCTGAGTAGTTGTGCTACTAATTAACAGTCCAAACTTCTCCTGTATACAAAAGACCTCTGCTCAACTACTGTGGTTCAATGTTTCACAGACTTCAGTAGAAACTCAAAAAATAATGTAAAATCAAAGTTACCCCTTAACACTTGCTTAGCTTAGATGTAAAGCTTGGAAAGCAAGGGGAAGGAACGAGAACTGCCAATTTCTATTAGCCTCCTGATGAGCCCTGAAAGCCTGTCAGAGGAAAGAGGCTCAAGCAGCCTGAGAAGGTAGAGGGCCCTTCAACTATAGCATCTTTTGAAAAAACAAATTCATACTCCAGAAATCCCAGAGTCTTCACTGAAAACTCTGAGCCTGTTAAATAATAGCAATTGCTTGGTACAGGATTAAAGCAAACACTAAAGTTTGCCTTTTCTCCTTGGGACTTTCAAAAACCTCCAAATATTTGTGAAAGATGCATGATCTGACAAGTACTTGCGCAACTTCATCAGCATGTTAGAAACAAAAATGTCTCCTATCTTCAAGTGAAGAGAACATCATGAACGGTAGGTAATTCATTAACAGCAGCAAGTGATGGAAAGCAGTAAAATGCAATGTGTTTTATTACAAACTGCAGCTACTACCTTTCCCCCTTTATAGTAGAAAGGCATATCCATCACTGGCCCACAAAGAAACAGTAAATTAAAGCAAAAATAGAAAGGGAACTAAATTCCAGTATTACTGCAAGTAGCTGAAGGGAAACCCAAAGGCTCAATCAGGATTAGTCTTGAACTGCTTTTACAAGCGTGTAAAAACATCAGAGATCCTTCTCTGAATAGTTAATGCTTTAAAAGACAGCATGAGGTAGGAGAGGAGGAATCTTCAGGCCTTCCCCCAACATACCCAGAGCTGAGCCCTGCAGAGGCCTCCCACTGGGAAGGGAAACACAAGAAGGGAACTGTGCAGAGCTTGTGGAGGTGAAGCAGGGTTTCTACCAGCTACCCTAGAGACATTCATGGAAGGATTTCCAGTTAAAATCACTTTCTCAGCAAGGGATCCTCCATTTGCTTAGGCTTAGCACAGATAGTTGGAGTTTTGCCTTAAAAAAAAAAAAAAAATCACTGAAAACCATCTGGCAAGGTCTTTCTGAACCTGGGTTTTCCCTTTAGGTACAAATTGCTCAAAAACAACAACTCTGTTTATTTTAATCAACAGGGAAAAAAGCATAGAAGGAAGAGGGGAATACAGCAGTTCCCATGACTGTTTCATAACTGGTATCTTCCTGTCTCCTTTTAATAGAGGCCAGACATTTGCAATTTCTTCTTGATACCTTGAGAGCTGTTAAAGACTCTAATTTCCCAAAACAACTCTAAAGAGTTCTTTCTTAAGTCTAACTTCAGCTCTTATTGGCAGGCCTCTATTTCCCTGTTCAAACCAATTTTGTAGGCTGGTTGAAGGCAACGCAAAACCAACTCTCATAGTTTTGCCATTGCCCTTCACCAATGAGAAGGAAAAATAAGTGACTAATATCAGTCACTCCTTTCCCCGTACTGGTTTTCCCTGCCATATCATCCGAGTTAATCCAAAATGTAAATACCTAAACCTTAGTAATCTCAGCAGTGGCATTTCCTAACTTTTGAGTTCTTTATTTCTGGATACTCTCCCCACTTACCCTTCCTCTTATCAGTGCTACAAGACTACAGTCTTGGAAATAAGACAAAGCTACTGCTTGATTATTCCCTTGCAAGACCTCCTTTTGTGTCAGAGAAAATGCAAAATCCTTTTTACTTCTGCAGTGACGCTAACAGGATTCACCTGCTCTGGCTGTGCTGCCTTTATGGGGAGGTATCGAGACCCTCTCAAGCTGTTATAATGAAGGCTCTTTGAGGCTTCTAAGCTCCCAAGGTATGTTTCAATGAGATATTATTTTGGGGTCATATTTACATTAGTACGTCTTAAGACATCAGAAAACTACCTGATACTCTCCTAGCTCGTATCTACCAGAAAAAAACAAGCAATTAGTAAAGACTGCTATGTTGATCTGCCAGACCACAGAAAGGACAGATATGATCTGCCACAAAAGACTTTTCTGCAGCCTAATGCAGATGGAAACTGTTAGCAACCAGACTTAAGTCAGCAGTTCCCCTCCTTCACAAAAAAATGGGACCTATCTCAGCTATTCTGTAGAAGGTTTCTCTCCAGCACACCATGCTCCAGAAAATCAGCAGGGGCTGGAAATTAGCAGTGAAAGACACTTGGTAAGGAATGGGGGAAAAAAAAAAAAAACAAGAAGAAAAAACCCTCCAACTGTCCTCTGCAAGAATCTTGCCCAGCTGAATGGAACGACTCCTGTAAGCGCCCTTTAACCACTAATAAACCTCAGCCTAACCCAAATCCAGGCAGCTTTTGGCTGCCAGCCTTTCCCTGCTCCCTAGAGAGAAATCACAAAGCACAACTGGACTTAGCACTGCCTTGGAGAACCCTGTGCCAGCAGGCAGCTTCCTGTGCACTGCAACTCCTCCCATCCCAGGGGCACCACAACAATACAGATCAGGGAGGAGGGCAGGAGGAAAAGGAGAAGAAAAGCCTTCTGGGTTACAGAAGATTTACCATGCATTACAGGAAGCAAATCACCCAGTATTTCTGATAACATGTTAGTATAAGCAGCACCTGGATGGGTTAAAAAATAAACAAACCACATGGCAAGATGCTGCTCGACTCTTAGCCCATCATCCTGTCAAGGGTAACAAATATTAGTGCTGTTTCAGCAATGCTTTATATTGGACTCTTTCAGAATACAGGAGGAAAAAAAATTGAGAGGCTGCTAGCAATTATGCACATTTCCATTACCTGCTGAAGAGTTGACTGCTTCTAAAGGAACGCAGGCAGCCTCAGAAAGCACCTTTCCAAAGTTGCCAATATTAGGACGGGGGACAAAAAACCTTTATAAGTACTGGGGGGAAGGAGAAGGAAAGAGTTGTGCTTCTTCACCCCTGTCACAGCCTTGGCTTAGGAGTAATGACAAAACCAGGACTGAACATATTCCTTCACGAAGGCAGCTCTAGAGCATGATCCTCAGCATGGGAAGAAGGAGGAAAATGCAGAGGTGAGAATAAGCGTTATCTGTCACTCCTCAAAGCTAATAGCTCTTTGTTAGGAGTCATCACGTGGTGGCCAGTTCTTTTGTTTTTCTCCAGTGCTGCCTCCATCTCTCAGGTACACAGAGACTAAGCAAGAAAGAGCGTTTGCTTGCATAGATTTGTTATTTCCTGTTGCCACACAGCAAATGCAGCATTTCCATCTCTATGGCCCCTTTTAAATGTCAATTCCAACCAAAATTGCTCCCTTTCAATATTTGTTAAAAGCAGGGAAAAAAGTCAAGGTTTAGTCCAGAATCTAACCTCTTCTTAGATCAGCACCTTTTATGCAATTTATGCAATTTCAGCTAGATAAGACCAACTCTAAACTTTGGGATCAACTATACAAAATATAAAGGGCTGACAACTTCCAGGGTTAAAATTCTATAGAACCGAACTGAAGAAGCTCTTACAGAAGAACCTGTATCTCACTATCACTCTCTCACGGCTGCCACATCTTGCCAACTTTATCACAGGCCAACTTTTCCTTTTGAACCTTCTCCTGCAAAATGTAAGTCCTGTTGAGCTCTCTGATCCCCTCAGCTGACTCTTCTTAATTGTAAAGCTCATATTTTTATGGACTTCATGGCACCCTCCTAGAAAAGATTCTCATTTACTACAGACACAGGAATTTCTTGCTAAATCACTTGTCTAAGTTCTTACCTCTCTTTGCTCTGACCTTGGCTTATGTCAGTACACCCTCTGCATTCAGATCATTTTCTTATACCGCTGCTTTGGCAATACTCCTACTTTTTCTGCACCTTTTCATTCTACCATATCAAACCTACCTTCTAATTCCCAGACTTTAAAAGTCTGTCAAGACACCAACTCTAGCTCCGAGTCATTTGACTGTATCCACCTAAAACCATTAGATATCAATAGTATCATTAGATTTTGAAACAAAACCCCTGCTAATATTCTTCCATGCAGTCTCATTACTCCATATGTCCATCTATCATCCATATGTCTCAGGACAACTCTTTATCCAGTTTCAGATCACTCTGAAATTCTCTTTTCCCCAATGTCCACAGGCTAGACAGTCTGCTCAAAACCCCACCTAAGAGCTGCTAATGTCTCTCTCTT